TCTGTTCCCCTTTCGGGCTTGAACTGATGGTAAAACTAATGACATTATTTACTGTCTTTACATTTATTTTGAAAGCTGAAGCTGCTATTATGGTAAGGGGCGTTATATTTCCGATGCGTGCTTGGGATGTTCGGCCAATCACAATGCACTGGGTCAGCTGGCCAATCAGAGCAGACTGCGCTTGTCGGAAGGAGGGACTTTGTAGAAAATGAAGCGTTTGAGAGAGGCGGGGCATAGAGGACCTACAATAATGTACAGTATTTGAAAAATAATGTGTTTTTTGAACATTAAAGTATGTCAACATATTCTGTTACACCAAATACACAAAATAATGATCTTTAAAAAAGCATCATATGACCCCTTTAAACTTTTTTTTTTTTAATACATGCTGTCTATCTTTTGAAGATGTGCTCTCATTCAGAGATGTCCAGTTATTGAAGCAGGATTGGGCATAAGGCTGATGTTTGCACATTTAACATTTATTGCATTTGACACACACTTTTATCCTATCTGACTTAAATTGTATTCAAACTGTACAGTTTATCAATTCGAACCCATGACCTTGAGATTGCTTACTCTGCCGATTGAGCTACAGGAACACTTTGAGACGGGAATGTTTACACAAAAATCCTGTCTCTTGTTTAGTTAGCAACATGAAAAGAAAGCGTTCTTGGAATATTTTTTAGATAAGTAAGCGCAGCCATCCTGAGGATTCTTTGATCAGCTGACTCTCACAAAACTCATGCAGCTACACTTTCTTTGCAAGTACTTGTAATGTAGAAATTGTGGATTGCCTTGTTACATAAAAAAATTTTTTTTTTTTGGAAAAATTCTGTATGTGTTGTCAATCAGTGTGGACCAGACATTGTGCCGATAGTCAAACGTCTGGCGACGTGAGTCTGATGCATGTGTGTGTGTGTTTGTGTGTGTGCAGGTTTGGTGGTGAGGGAAGCACGGATCGAGATCTCCCGGCAGCAGGTGGATGAGTTGTTTGGTTTGGAAGATTACTGGTGCCAATGTGTCGCCTGGAGCTCCGCAGGAACCACCAAGAGCCGCAAGGTGCACGTCCGCATCGCATGTGAGTATATGAACACACACACACACAGTGCTTTAATGAGAGGAGTCTTTGCTCTGTCTTCTCTGACTGCAGAAGATTTCTCTGTCTGACAGACACTTTGGCTTCATGTTTATTGACACACACACACACACGGTCTGTGAGAAAATCTGTAAGCTGGATGAAGGTAATGGAGTATTTATGCAGATCAGAGTCTGCAGACAGGAGACTGTCTGGAGCACACAAACACACACACACACACACGGGGGACTGTCTGGATATCGTTTTATGGTTGTATTAATCTTCTTAATTTCCTGCAGTTCATCTTGAGTGTGTGTGAGTTGGGAGCAGGTTATCGGTGCGGCCCAAGGGCACTTCACTCTCCCTCTGTCGTCTCGGGCTGAGTGTGTGTGTGTGAGAGAGACACAGGGACATGGAGACTGAAGCTGACTGGCAGTATAACACAACAAACTTCCTCTCATCTGGATGCTTTCAGGATGAGAGCTAAATAAATCAATGCTGCTTTAGGACAGACAGACAGACAGACAGACAGACAGACAGCCAGAGACAGCCAGATAGATAGATAGATAGATAGATAGATACAAACCCGATTCCAAAAAAGTTGGGACACTGTACAGATTGTGAATAAAAACAGAATGCAATGATGTGGAAGTTTCAGATTTCAATATTTTATTCAGAATACAACATAGATGACATATCAAATGTTTAAACTGAGAAAATGTATCATTTTAAGGGAAAAATAAGTTGATTTTAAATTTCATGGCATCAACACATCTCAAAAAAGTTGGGACAAGGCCATGTTTACCACTGTGTGGCATCCCCTCTTCTTTTTATAACAGTCTGCAAACGTCTGGGGACTGAGGAGACAAGTTGCTCAAGTTTAGGAATAGGAATGTTGTCCCATTCTTGTCTAATACAGGCTTCTAGTTGCTCAACTGTCTTAGGTCTTCTTTGTCGCATCTTCCTCTTTATGATGCACCAATGTTTTCTATGGGTATTCCATTCCTTTTTTTACTCACAATTTGTACAGTGTCCCAACTTTTTTGGAATTGGGTTTGTAGATAGATAGATAGATAGATTAATGCATGAAATAGATATTACAAAAAGTAGCTTTTTTCAATTTAAAATTTTTGGGTGAACTATCCCTTTAATAAATAATTTTTTTGTTAATATGGATTTTTTTATTTTCAGATTTTTTATTAATATGTAAATATGAAATAATTGTTAATGAAATTATACTCTATTAATAAGAAACTAAAATTGCCAGTAGGTGGCAGTAAATGTTTTACTGAGTGAGTCATTGAGTCATTCATTCATTCGATTCGTCCAAACTGCTGATTCATTCAGGAATGAAGTAAACGGCTCTCTTAATGAATGGGCCATTAAATCATTGGTTCACCCGATTTGTTCAAAATTTGTTTCTTTCAGAAACTGTGTGTTGCTTGGAGACACGCAACAGTTCTTCTGTGGCTTTAATAGATAATATTAAAACTGATCAAAAGCATACAATATTGTGTATAAAATATAACACAGTAGCTTCTTATTTAGTGAACTGTTGTATAAAGTCAATATCACATTTGCACATTTGGGACAAAAACAGCACTTGTGTGATACTGAATGTGAAAGTGAAAGTGAAGTGACGTGTGGCCAAGTATGGTGACCCATATTTGGAATTTGTGCTCTGCATTTAACCCATCCAAGTGCACACACACAGTAGTGAACACACACACACACACACACCGTGAACACACACCCGGAGCAGTGGGCAGCCAATGCTGCGGCGCCTGAGGAGCAGTTGGGGGTTTGGTTTCTTGCTCAAGGGAGAGAGCACTGGTTATTCACTCCCCCCACCGACAATTCCTGCCGGACCCGCGACCTTCAGGTTACAAGTTCGACTCTCTATCCAGAGTCAGCCACAACTGCCCCCTACGACTGCCCTAGACTCGTGTAATATTGCTTAAAGTGGTCCTATTATGCTCTTTTACAATGTCTTGAATTTGTTTTGGGGGTGTACTAGAACATGCTCTCATGCTTCGAAAAATGCATTATTTTTTACATAATTTACATTTTTACGATACCTTTCTCCCCATCCTGGCACAAACGGCTCGATTAGTTCCTGGTTTGATGAAGGCCCGCCTTCCGAAATATGAAATGTGATGTGATTGGTTAGCTGTCCCAGTGCGTTGTGATTGACGAACAGCTTAGACGGTGTTTCAGTACTGCCCCCCGCCCCTTGCCAAAGCAGCAAGTTTAGTTAAGGATGTCGTCAATATTGCCATATCAATTTGAGCAGGATTCAGACCCAGAGAATATTGAGCAAAAGGGTGTTTCTACTAAATACTGAGCAAAGGGTCTGAATACTTAGGACCATGTGTTATTTCAGTTTTTCTTTTTTAATAAATCTGCAAAAATGTCAACAATTCTGTGTTTTTCTGTCAATATGGGGTGCTGTGTGTACATTAATGAGGAAAAAAAATTAACTTAAATGATTTTAGCAAATGGCTGCAATATAACAAAGAGTGAAAAATTTAAGTGGGTCTGAATACTTTCCGTACCCACTGTATATTTGATTAGTGACTAGATATTTCATATTAGTTTAGGGTCTATGTATGATGACAGACGTTATATTAAATTAGTGACTTTGATTATATTAGATTAGCGACCAACCTTAAATATATTTAGTGCTAAATACAATATATAATTAGTTTGTATTATTTACAGTGTGTAGTGATAAATGTTATATTTGATTAGTTTAGTGACTTTAAATAGCGCTAGACATTAGATGTGTTGAGGGACTGTGGTCAGTTTGTTGCTGAAGTCTAGACATTATAATTATGAATGAAATAGGAGTGCTGTTGTACAGGTGTGTGTGTGTGTGTGTGGCTTCAGCTCTGTTCAGGATATTAATGCTGTTTAAGATTTGTTGCTGTAGCAATGTAGAGCACTAAAACTATGAGTTGAATGCATTACCGTACTCGCACACACACTCACACACGGACACACACCTCTTCTGAGATGTGATTTATTTGCCTATTACCTCCATCAGTAATGTGAAAGAAAACAGACATGCACTGTGTGTGTGTGTGTGTGTCTGAATGAGCAGAGCAGTAAAATGCTTGACAGGCTGAAGATATTTGCCTTATGCGCTTGTGTGTGTGTGTGTGTGTGTGTGTATTTTATGTCCAGTTGAATGGAAAAATCACAGAGCAGACAATTGAAGGTTCAAGGTGAGCAGCAGTTCTGGGTGAAATAGATTAAAAAAAAATGTCTCTTGATCTCAATATTTTTACAGTGTTTTAACGAGTGGGAATCATCCATTCAACTACAGGCACATCAGCTATTGTTGAGAAGTAGATGTTTAATGTTTATTTAAAAAAATAAAATAAAAACTAGCTTTCCATTTTTTCTATTCTATCTACTTGTTTTTCTTTGTTTGTGTGTGTGTATAATATATATATATATATTATATATATATACACCTTGCTATGTGTACTGTGTTAGGCTAACCGAGACTTGTCATTTGCACTTATATATTGTTGCTCTTTTGTTAGTTTTGACTGCTTTTATTGTCCTCATTTGTAAGTCGCTTTGGATAAAAGCGTCTGCTAAATGACTAAATGTAAATGTAAATGTAATGTAAGAAGTAAAATCTAGTTAAAAATGGTTAAGGCAAAATGGCCATGTTCTCAATCATTTTTAATAATTTTCAATCATCCAAATTACACATGGGGACAGAACACATGAATGAATAAATGAATGGACGTGACATTTTTGGAGCATTGACACAAATGAATCATTGAATCAGAATTGATTGAACCAATCGCAATGTACAGTTGAAATCTGTCTGTCTCTAGGGTAGTAACTGATTAAATGTAACCTGGATTATGTAATCAGATTCCAAAAAAATCAAGTACTCGTACATATTACATTTTATAATGCTCATAATCAGATTGCAGTTACTTTTTATGGATTACATGATTACATATTATTCACACAATGGCAGTAAATCATTCATAATTGATCGATTCTCCCAAATTCTTTTTTTTTTCTTTTACATTTTCCTTTCTAAAAATCCTACTGTGTGTCATACCATTTAGCTTTGACTATGTTCACAATATAGGATGTTCATGTAAATGTCAGTGTAAATAAATGCAAATAAATTAGCAAATCGTGCTTCTGAATTTGGGTGCAAAAAGCACCTCTCAAGCAATTAAAAAAATTGTATGAAACAAATAATTATGCAAGTTACTAAACAATGGTGATGTATACAGTAGCTGTGAAACACTGTCGTCATTATACCCAGTAACCTTCAGGAATTGTTGATTCTGGAAGTCTGGACAAAAAAAAATTCAAACCTGGAAGACTTTGTTATTTTCATGTTTATTCATGTTTGTTCATGTAATGCAGGAATTCCCAAACGTTTTTGTCAGTTCATATTTCAATAATTGTACAACCCATTCGCATGTTCACAGTTCTCTGATGTCTGGTAATGGTCACATTGAAATGCAGTTAAACAAATAATATATTTCTATTTTTAGTGTCCAAGTGTTTAAATAATTTATTTTACACTTTTATGATTTAATTAATTATTAGCTTTTTATCAACTCACAAGCCCACTGCTGTTCTTACATTAAGCCCAGTTTGGGAAACCTTGTTTTAATGTAAGATTTAATGCACTTTATGATAAAAAAATTGAAAATATTTTCTTTCTCTTTGCTTTTTATATCAATATGGCATGTTTAGTTGTAAGTGTAAAGTATTCAGAATACATTACCTAAAATGTATGTTGATGTGTGTGTGGCAGTCGTCCGTGAGGGGCTACCGCATTTATTTTTGTCTTGTGTTCGTTTATTTGATAATTAAAGTTTTATGTTTAAATGTTCGCCTTTTCCCGCCTCCTCCTTCCCTGAGCTTTTAACTTTGTTACAAATACGAAATATTATAATACATCATAAAATGATCAGTGTATATGTCACCCGGCACTAGTGAACAGATATGAAGTTTTAACTCCATCGCAAACCTCACAAACCAACAGAGAGAAAGAGGTTTGGTATTCACATATTCACTCCCTCCACAACTATTCACACACATCTCTGCATTTACAATTCACAGGTTCACACGAGGGGTGAGAGAAGGATGTGTTGAAGACGAGATGAGTTTGCCCACTCACACACACACACACACACACACACACACACACTCACACACACACACACACAGAGAAACCAACAGGGAAAAGCAGATATTTACACCTGCATGTGAATATTATGAGATAATAATGTGAACGAGTTGCACAAATGTTTGCTTTGACCTGAGAATGTGGCAGATATGAGCGTCATTCACACATCCTGTGAGCTGTACTCTTCACCGGTGTGAAGAAGCCAATCACACACTGTCAGCTACACAGAAAACATCACAATGAGATGAACTGCACGGCGATAATGAATTCTGCGCTACTTAATATATAAGTCTGAGAGAACATCTGTTATTTTTCCATTTAAACCGGGAAATAAACTGATTTTCAAAATAAAATGACCATGTGAAATGTAAGAAATATTCAGCACTGTTGCTAGGTGACTAATGAAGTATATGTAAATGAGTCGCCTCTCTGTCTCCATTCTCCACAGTCTTGAGGAAGACGTTTGAGCAGGAACCCTTGGGGAAGGAGGTGTCACTCGAACAGGAAGTGCTGCTGCAGTGCCGCCCACCTGAGGGCACCGTGCCTCCCCTCCCGGGTCTGTAGGTACTCGACTGGCCAGCGATGCTTATACGACCTATGGAGAAGCTGCTTCCGCCTTACACGCTACATTCTTGAAAACCCCCGTGTCCCAGCCGGCCTTTTCGGCGACACGGTGGAGAACTTGCCCAGCAGTTCCCCGTCGCTGAGGGCGGCCCCTGCCACCGCCCCGCTCCTGCGGCCTCCAGCAAAGCTGCGCCGTGGAACAGGTCGCAGGACAGCCGCCCCGCCCGTCCAGGCTCCCGCCAAACCTGGTGGCAAGCGAAAGAGCAAGAGGCCCTGAGACGGGCAACTCCGAGGTGGAGGGACCTGCTCTTCAGGAGATGGTAAGCACACCACTCCCTCCCCCGGAGGAGGGCCACGAGGAGAATCTTTTCATCTTTTTCCGCCACTGTCCTCTCGGTCGGTGGTACCCAAATACTCGACAAAGAGAAATTCCTCTATTTCTGGGTCCCCAGAGGGGACGGGGGGTTGTGGACGATCCAGTGCGTATCACACTCACCCTCCTCTCTCGCCAGTGAGCAGCAGTGGGTGGATCGAGAGGACGAACCAACGGACTACCCATGCACCCTCTGCTCGAACGCAGGTCAGTGTTACACACACA